TTATCATAGTGCTGCAAGGAACAATAATGTCTTAGATTGTAACCTCAAACGTTAGACCTCCAAACAGATATGATAAGAATACATTTTATTCTTTTTGTTTCTTTTATGGTTTTAATCATTAAAGCATACTCATCTTCTGGACATACAGTCAAGCTTTTCTGCAAAACTGTTAGGATTGGATACATACCTGGAAAAAAAAGTCAAAAAAAAAAAAAAAAAAAAAGCCTTGACTTTATCAACTAATTGTATTATAGAAGGAGATTGAAGATCATAAGCACTGGAAAACCTGAAGCAACCAAGAACCAAGTCTCTGAGCAGAATTCCAGATATTATGTGTCCTAAAGGGCTCGTGATCTACAGGGTTAAAGTAGGAAAAAGAAAGTGGTAGAAAAGGCCATGAAAAACACAGTGGTAATATGGTTATTTTTTTGTTTTCTCCTTAAATTCTTTGGTGCGGTTTAATGAAATGGACACTGCTAAGATGAATGAAAAGGGATGGCWTAAAAAAAGAAAACAGAAATATGACAAGTTTTGTGGATGTAGATGGAAATACACTGGAACAACAGCCTGTCAGTAGAGAGGAAAGGAGACTGTGTAAAACAGTTTGATTACATTCTCAGTGCCTTCTTGGATAATCTTTCTAAGCTAAAGAGCCTGCTGTGGATCTCATTTATACAGAGTTTCAGCTCTCACTGATAAGTATTGTGTAATATGAGTTGCACAGATGACCAAAGAACAGCTGGGTCTTGTGTGAATCCCCAGTCTTCTACACTTTTTTACGCAAATAAAAAATAATTCTAATGCTCTGGTATTCCAAAGAACCTTTCAATCTGGTTCTTGTCTACTGAGACAAATATTTTTATGGTCTATTTTATGAAAATATACCTGTGTTCTTTATTTTATTGTTGCATTCTATATAAATTCCTTTTTTCTTCATCTTAGTTTAGTATTCTGTCCCCAACCTTGTGCAGAAAATCCTTCAGAAATGTACAATCAGAAGAAAAATGAAAGGTATGTCGTACTCCGTTAAGACTAACTGCTATTGATGATAATGAGAATAGCACTCAGAGGTAGAAACAGGACAAAGATTTCTGTCTTTGCTCTTTTTACAGAGCAAAGGCTCAGTAAAAGCTCAGTAGCCACTGAGCCTTCATTTTGYGATTTGCAGAGCAGCATGTTTACTCAGCTTCTGTGTTGATTCTGCCTAGGAAAAGGGAACTGAAGCTATAATGAGTCATCAGAAGACTGTGTACTTTTACTCATAATTTTCTGATCTGTTAGGAGCTTTCCTGTCTCCCTGGAAGATGTTTTTAAGACTTCTCCTCAGTTATTGTGGGCTCTTGTCATTCTATAGGGAGCCTTTTGAAAAAAAAAAAAAAAAAAAAAAAAAAAGTGAGGGCATGAGGGCATGATAGATTTTTAACCAAATACATTATTTCTCCCTGATACTGGTACACTTTGTGTTTTCAGTTTCTTATTCATACATTTACTTATATATACATTCTTTTAGTTGGAATACTAATACAGGTCCTAAGCTTATTTTTTTTCTCTTTTGTGCAAGTCCTTTCTTTCAGCATAAATATAACTGATGTATGCACAACCATGGCTTTGCATACCTCTACCAGTTTAACTTATGCACCGATTCATTTGATTTGAGGCCAATAATGCATTTATCTTCTTTTGCAGAACTAACACTGTGCCATTGAAAAATTCCTGTTGGAAAAGGGCACCGTTACTACTCTGTTGTTTGTGCTGATATATAGTGATCTAATACACAGTAGTTTCTTTTACCTCTTTTTCCAAGTGCCAGGCATTATGCTGGTTTGTTTTGGCCTTGCCACAGAGCAAGCAACTCCGTGTGCTGTTTTTGTAAACTCCTACTTCACTCTGCATGAGCGCTTACTCATGGAGTATTTTGGATTCTTTATAATGTCCACAGGGTCAAAGCACCGAACTCTCTCCAGAAGTTTCAGTTTGCCTGGAAAATTTTGACAGTTTTATAAAGGATTTTTATTTTTGTCTTCTCCAGTTACATCTTTTCTTAACTGTTTTGACACAGATCTAAATTGTGACCATGTCTTTTACATAACATCAGACAATTTTCTGGAACTGCAAAACTCACTCAACAATAAAAAAAAGACTATTTTTTTCCCTACTCCTGTGATAAAAGGTGTAACTGATGTTTCATTTTAAATTCTGTTAAGTCTTACAGAGCTTTTACAGCAAAACTTTCATGTTTTTCTGTTCTTCTGTTCATCTTCTGTTTTACATAGGATAACTTTGTAGATATTAATCCTTTCTCTTCTATTTCCATGTATTTTCCACACAGAACTTAAGCAGTTACATTTGTACAGAAAGAAAAGCCATTGATACAGGCATAGGTAGACTCTTTCTTTTCTTCTTACTTTCTCTAGACTTCAACACAAGTTGAACTTCAACCCAACTTCTTTATGGCAGTCTCCTCTAAAACTAGTACCAAGAGATGCTTATAGGAGTGAGGATTAGATCAGAAGGAATAAACTGAATTTAATCTCTATTAAATTTAATCTCTATTTTTTTGACCTATGGAAATTGGGACTTAGGGGATATTTCTCTTCAGTGTTCAGCAGTCACTTCACATAAGAGATGGACTGTGTTAAAGATCTTGGACTTTCAAACAATAATAGCTATTACTTTTCTACATCTATGTCTTTTAGTAAAGTCTAAGTCTAAACACTTCTTAATATAATGCTGCAAAGCTATCCTAAACTATACTTATCAGGGAATATGATTAAAAGATGAATCTATTACATATATATATATGTTTATCTGTTATATATACACACTCATATATATATATGTACAGAGAGAGAGAGCTTAAAATGGGCATTAGAGCTCTATCAGCAAAAAAAGTTTTGAGATATCTAGAAGAAATATTCACTTTTCACTATAATTATGAATAATACCTAATTGCAAGGGGTAATGCGAATCATTTCCAGATATTACACAAGGAGGAGAATGATATCTGCTGGGAGTAAAGGTGGTGCATAGTTAACATAAGTGCATTGTGTGAGTAAATTATTATTTTGGGAAGGAGATAACAAGCTTCTTTCTCTCTCAAGTAAATCCAGGTAATTGGTAAAAGGTCATTTTTTGGCACTTACATTACAGCTGTTTTTCTTCTGTATGATTTCTGCTGGTCATTAAATGTGTACTGAGTACTTTGGGGACTAAAAGGAAGACATAATCTTTTCCTTGAAGAGTTACTTGTTTAATATACTATTATGTCTTCTGTAAAAGGAGAAATAATAAAAAAAAAATCCATGGAATTAACCTCCAGGAGATGGCACAGTTTGCAGCTGCTTAAGGCAAGAATGAGGTATAGCAGAGATCTACACAGCATGCCAGGCAGGCAGAAGTAACTGGCTTTCCATCTGCAGTGCCCTGCTCTGATTTAYTTCATGAGGTGTCAGGAAGGACTGCTAACATCACTGACAAAGCCTTACTCTTTCTAGTATCCAGAATGAGATCTTCTCTGAAAACATGGGATTTATCTTAAAGGTGGAAGAAAGCAAAAAGGAAATGGGTAGCAATTAGGGTATTGAATTTAGATTTAGCAGTAAAGAGGAATTAAAAAAAAAAAAAAAACACAGCTCTAGGACATGTCATCTCCTTCAAGTACAAATTGCTGATTGTAAATGTCATCTATGTGACTAGTTAAGGTGTAGACACCTACTTCAGTTAAAATAACATGAACCCCATCATGATTTACTTACGCACCTCTGCACTATGAATATATTGATATACTGACATTATGAATCCTAGGAATGTTTTTAAATTGTTTTCTTGATGTTGTATTAAGACAGAGATTTAAGAAGGAATTTAAAGAATGAATTAAAGAGAGAAGTATTTACAGGCTATTTCTTCCAAGTGACAGCATGGAAGCTATCACACAATTTGTCTGAAAATGTGCTGCTTTGGGTAATAGCATTGGCATCATGTACAAATCAACAGTGGGAGTTAGCTTCTTGGTAGTGAATGGAAACAATAGAATTGAAATAGGCTGTGAAGTACCAAGAAAGTGAAGGCAAGCAATTCCTATTAGTTAAAATCAAAAAAGATTGGATGGGATAATACACAAAATAAATCAGTTGGTGAAAGGCTGAAATACCTTGTAGCTGGGGATATTACTTTCACAGAGAAGTAATACCTTCTTTTATTGATTTGAAAAGAACARCATTTCTGCAAAAAGGAAGTAAACCTATGAGGTATGAATTTTAAGATGTTGATTAAAATATAAAAATAAGGGAGAAGGACGTCTGACAAAGAAATAACTATTTGGTAGCATAAGAAGGTGGTTCTTTGATGGAAACTTAGAAAATAAGGGAAGAACCAGGGAAAAGAAAAAAAAAAAAGCAGTCATAGAAACCAAGGAAAAAAAAACTTAGCAAAGAGGAAAACAGACAGTAGTGTTGGAAGAGACTAGCAGGTAAAGGACAATGAGAATGGAGTTTTTCTAGGAGGGAATTGTTGGCAAAAATAGTTTCATTGTAGTGCCAAGGACAGACAGTTGGTTTGAAAAGATGCTTAAGACAAAATTAGTAAAGAACAACAACTAACAAATATGACAAATACAGTGCTCAATAAGGGGGAGGGTTACAGTAGTGAGTGAGTGACGTGGCAGGGTTGAAGAGGATTTGCTTTTTAGACAGAAATGACCAAGTCATTGTGCCAAAGGAAATAAGAACCTAAGTAGGGAAAAAGGCAAAAAAAAAGATGATGCTGATCAGGAGACAGGGTGGAACCACTGGGCCAAGTGGATGAAAAGAGATGAGAAATTTCTGCAATGCAAGAAAAGGAAAAGAGAGTTTACCGAAGAGGAATGGGAAATAAACAGGCTGGGCTGGTGGAGGATGATCTCAAGGTATTTTATCAGTTTTTCTTAAAAACAACAAGTACCAGGCCAAAGCCACTATTTCTCCTCAGTTTTTAAACAATTGTCAGTTCAATTCTATACTTACATGAAGATTTTTCAAGTTCTTGAAATCCCCTTCCTTAATTTCAGTGATTTTGTTATTCTGTAAATCCAGCAGAGTTGTGTCAGGGGGGAGGTCCTTTGGTACTTTATCCAAACCTARGGGCAGTAAAAAAGAACAATTGGTTTTGGAAGAGACTCTGAGGAGGGGTCAGTACTTCCCTTAGTAGCATTTTACTTTGTAGTAAACAACCATTTAGCAGCATTTACTAAGAAGTTTATGAAGACTTATCTGAAAGTATTTTCATCTCTAGACAGTCAAAAGGAGTTTTATTTTGCTAGGTCAAAACAAAATTAATTTATTCACATTTCCATTCCGCCCTTTTCTGGGAATATATTTGAGTTATAGCTTAAAGCAAAGGATCCAGTTTGGCAAAATTGCTTAACTTAATCCCACTAAACTGTGTGGATAAAAATTGCTTTCAGAAAGAGGTATGGTATTTATTCACTTCAGTGAACAAAAAGCACTTCCTACACGTTAACAGATACTAGGCTTTTTGTAAAGAGGATGATACTTAATTATAATCACTTCCAGAAAATACACTATTTGTTTTGTAATAACTTGCAGTAACTTGCTGTAAAGTCCACCTTAAAAAAAAACAAAACCTCTGCTTTTCTTTCAACTGAAACAATGTCCAAGTTTTCTGGAGAACAAATCTCTTGGTTTCACTGCAACTGCCAAAAGAACATCAGACAGTTTAAATTAAAGACTCTCTTTGGGACTATTTTCTGAATAGCTGATGTGTAAGTCTGATGAAGTCATGGAAATGAAATTATTTAGTGTTAAATAACACTCACTTTACCCAGCTTTCCTTTCATACTGTGACTTGGAATAGAGCAAATCTTTTTTAGTCACTGTGATTTACCACAAAATTAAAAYGACCCATTTCTTTCCTAACTCATCTTTTTCTTTTTCTTTTTCTTCTTCTTTTTTTTTTCCTAACAAAATGTGAATCACTACATGAAAGGCTGGAAGGAATAATGAATATGGACTAATAACGTCTCTATATGTGATCTAATTTAAGTGGAGCTATCTCTAGATAATAATCTTTTTACCAATAAAGCTTTTAACAAATATTTCTAAAGATACACTTGAGCTCTTTTCAGAAAGATCGTTGTGGAAATTTGTTTTCTCAGTACAAGGAATCTATCAAAACGGTAATATACTGCATAATATTGTTCTCAAATGGATTTTTTTTTTCAACCTGCATATTTTTAATTAAAGGTCAACATTGCAAACACTAAAAAGTGATTCTTCACTAAATCTAAGTGTAAACTGGAATGTTATGTGGTTGGTTCTTATTTGCCTAAATTATGGGAAACCATTAAAGGAGCTATATTGAATTCAATCTTAATACTCATTGATGGGTCAAGACAATTCAAGCACTACATGTCAAACTCTGATTAATTAGGGATTGTGCTGGAATACAAAAGCTGGGCAACTMCTGTACCCAGCAAGGCAATGAGATGTCATTCAGCTGGTGTGTACCCAAGGACTCCTGCTCCCTAAATGCTTCTTCTGAATGCACGGAGCAGCCACTTGCAAACCATTGCATGATGYCACGAGTCAGTAGTGATTTTTAAATGGTGCTCAGTACATTTGTCTTATTCCATTCTCTCCCCAAATCAAAAACCATTGGACTTCAAAGTTAATGATTTGTGGAGCCAATTTTTCCTTCTAATGTATAGTTACTATTACAAAATTCTGCCATAAATCCTGGAGAGGCCACAGAGCTGGGCACTGGAATTTTTTTACTGCAATTAGTGACTCACTGAGAATTCACTAAGGATTTGGCCACGATTTATCTGCATGTAGACAAAGTATCCAACCTGTATTTAGGAACATGGTCTGAATCTCCCAAAATGTCGAGCGTCTGTTAGATCCCACTTGTTCCCACCCTCGCTGTTGGGTGTAAAACCAGCTTACTAGCTGACAAGTTGTGTTGATGTGTTGGTGTGSCTGTCTCTGGGAACCCTCACTTTTTATTGCACCTGGAAGATACAGCAGCCTCAACTCCTTAGGCATTTTTAGCTATTTAATGAGAGCTTAGGGGGGCCTAAAAGAGGCCTAAAAGGTCTAAAATCTCAGAAAACAAGTGGTTCTTTTAATCTTAGTTACTAAGTAATATTATTACTCTCTATAGAACATATTTCGTTGTCCTACCATTACCAAAATTTGATTGCCAGGTTTTAAAGAATCAAAGGCAGTATTTCTTTTTTTTTTTTTTTTTGGCCTGTAAATTCTCTAATGTTAGTAAAACAAATTTTAAAATATTAAAATATATATATCTGATATTTATCAAAAATAAATGAAATGTAGAGGAAGAAGACTGATTGATGAGTTAGTAACATCATATACTTATATAAAATGACAGGAGTCAAAGCTTACACCTAATCTTATTCTTCTTACTGATATCTGTGTATGAATACACAGATTAAGGTTCTTAACATTTCTAAAATATTACTCCTCATTTAAATGCAGTGGGAAAACTCCTATTACTCTCAAAAGTACAGGACTAGAACATTAGGGCACAGAATATAAAAACAATGTGATACCATATAATTTCCATGTTGGTTGTCGTTAGAAAATGTCTGTTCTCAACAGACAGCAATGATGTCAGTAATGAAAAATTCTTTTCCCAAAAGTCCTATGTGTTTAAAATGTGTTGTTAGAGATTTTTGGGCAATTTTTACAATATTTTTCACATGTAATACAATATTAGTTTGATTATTTGTATTCAAAGTAATATTATGTTGTGGTTGGCAGCACATGCGGGTATCTGTAATTTAAATGCTTACAAGAAAAAAAGGATACATTAAAGATATGCAGTTGTAATATTATAGGATACCTTTGGAATACACTTTGTAAGAATGCTTGGAAGGGACCTCTAGAGATTATGTAGTCCATCCTCCCCTACTCCAGAAGGGACACCTCGAGCATGAGCACAGGGTGGCATCCAGGCGGGTTTGGAAGACCTCCAGAGAAGGAGACTCCACAACCTCCCTGGGCAGCCTGTTCCAGGGTTCTGGCACCCTCACAGGAGAGAAGTTCTTCCTCACATGCAGATGGAACTTCCTGTGCTTCAACTTGTACCCATTGACCCTGGTCCTATCAATGGCCACCACTGAGAAGATTTTAGCCCCATCCTCACTACAATCACCCTTCAGGTATTTATACATATTAATCAGATCCCYTCTCAACCTTCTTTTCTCCAGGGAAAGCAGGCCCAATTCACTTAGCCTTTCCTCATACAAGAGATGCTCTTAGTCCTTTAATCATCTTGGTTGCCCTCCGCTGGACCCTCTCTAAAAGTTCCACTTGCACTGGGGAGCCCAGAACTGCACCCAGTACTCCAGGTGTGTCCTTACCAGAGCTGAGGAGGGGGGCAGAATCCCCTCCCTTGACCTGTTGTGGCAACACTCCTCCCGATTCAGGCCAGGATCCCATTGGCCTTCTCGTCCACGAAGGCACACTGCTGACTCATGGTTAACTTGGTGTCAACCAGGACTCCCAGTTCCCTCCCTGCGGAGCTGCTCTCCAGCAAGTCAACCCCTAATCTGTACTRGGGCCTGGGGTTATTCCTCCCCAGGTGCAGGACCCTGCACTTGTTCTTGTTGAACCTCATGAGGTTCCTCTCTGCTCAACTCACCAGCCTGTCCAGGTCCCTCTGGATGGCAGCGCAGCCCTCTGGAGGGTTGACCACTCCACCTAGCTTGGTACCATCCGCAAACTTGCTTAAGGTGCACTCTGTGTCCTCATCCAAGTCAYTGATGAACAAGTTGAACAACTTGGGGGAACACGAACAACAAGCTGGGGAACCTAACCAGCCACAGGCCTCCAGCAAGACTCAGTCCCATTTATAACTGCCCTCTGAGCTCTATAACCACCCTCTGAGCTCTAAAATATATAAAATGTTATATGTTATGAGAAATGATATGATATAACATACCGTTATCACAAATAGAGTACATTGTATATTTTCATCTGCCTGTTAAAAAAAATGGCTATAGAAATGATATTTTTCTTCCCTGACTTGTCTGTGTTTTGAATATGTGAAGAACAAGCCACCATGCACATCTTAAATGAAAGATGCACCTCTGGTACTGAAATGAGAGTACAGTTTTCATTAAACAGTTTAATAAGTACTAAATACCCATCAGCTGAAAGCTAAATCAGCTAGGGCCATTAGAGGAAAAGATTGCAAATGGGCAGTTCTGGACACTGCTTTGTAAAGTCAGCAGGTGAATAGTTCAGGACTAAATTGCATTTGAAGTGTCGGCTGGATCCAAGTGTTTCATCACTTTTCACATCTCAGTTGCCTCCTAGAACTGTGCTTGGGATGCAGATCCTGATCTCAAGAGCCATTTGTATCTAGATCACGTGAAAGAGTAGTGACATGGTACAAACCTGGCTCTGTGCTTGAGTTTCCCTGCCTAGAAGGCAAACCTTCGTGTCAGTGTAGGGAACTACACTGTCAATGTAAATGAATGAGGGATTTTGTACTATCTTAACAGCATAATAGAATTTGAATCTACTCTAGCAAATCATAATCCTACTAGAAACTGAAATGACTGTTGACTTCATTACTAGGATTAACACAACCCATGAGAATTTTTGACCCCTCTGGCTTGAATACTAAGGTTTTCAGAAGGGAATTTCAGGCTGTCCTTGCTACTTCATTTCATAGAACATCAAGTGATGACCATATCCTTCTCAAGCCATGTGTGCATATTGTATGTCCACCTGCAAATGCCTTCCAATGAAATTTATGCAATAACACCTTAAAGTGAAACAAGTATGAGAAAATATCAATCGAGTTAGTGCTTCATAATTTTAAGAACAATTTTCACAAGTATTCCCACTGTTAGTAGTGAGTATATATATTAAAGCTTGCTTCCTGAAAAGTCACGTGACACCCCCTCACAGCAGTTCGATTTTTCATGTGAATTACCAGTGTTATACAGTTTTCTATTCAGTTCCCTGGAAATATTTAAGCCTCTGGTTCTGAAGACTAACTTACAACTGACTAAGATTTAACTTTTTCTGTCTTTTCCACGTCATGTAACATTAAAAATGCATATAGTTTTATTTATTTTGA